GACATTCCTGGAGCATGGTGAACACGGTCGATGTTGCCCATATCCGGCATTCACTGCTGTCGAACGTGAGCTCACGTATCGTCATCCCAGAGACAGATGAGGACTGCACCACTCCTTGGCAGTATTTTTTCTTCAGCTGACCTTCCCACCCCCTGCCCCTCCGACCCCGCCTTTATTTGTTCCCGTTCGGGTTCGTGAATCTTCGGGAACCAGTTCGGGTTCGGGAGTCTCATGTTCTTCATCCAGACGAACGCCTTGGATACGTGGTCCGGTAACGGGTCTGCCATGCTGGCAAGGTATGTCCTCCTGTATGCGTCTGTCGGGTTCTGTGTGCATGCCCATGGTCTTCTTGGCTAGTCTTTGTTTCCGACGATACATTTCCCCGTCAGCACAGGGCGTCATTTCGTGTGTCCAACTGTTCGGAGGAAGGGAAGAGCCGCGCCACTGGTGTTGACGTTACCCGCGCTTCTGGAAAAAGGTGTGGCGCTGAATCATTGTTCGGGGATGATATTTACCTGCTTAGCGGAAGTCCTGTTAGAACAATATGCATTGTTCTGCAGCTCTGCCGATTGCTTGACACTTTTATCAGCACTGCTGGCAATACGTCGCCATAACCGAGCCTGTTCCCAACCCGGGTACGCACGAATGCTGTGCCGTATGCATGCGATCGCGCATGAGTTCGCCGTTCGAACATCCAGCAATCATCAGCTGGAATGTATTTTCTCGACAGCGGCTAGACTTGGCACTGTAGTGATTGGTGTCCAAATCTTCACCATGCATGTCTTTTGTTCGACATCCAGGACCTGCTTTGACCTGTCCCCTTCCTCCCGACCTTCTCCACCATGACCCTCTTTTCTCCGGGATACAGGCTCGCCGCCAACCTCCCTTCCTTCCCGAGCGTCAGGGGGCTGTTCGTCTTCACCCGTCAGAGACTTTTCGGGCTCCCAGTAGTGACCTGGCAGTGGGTCTCCTTCATGAATCTGGCGCCGTGCGTCGCGCTTAGTTGCTTCTGGCTATTGCTCATCCTCTGCCGGCGTTTGTGCCTGGGGCCCGTGGGCGCTCACCAGGTCGACCCCGGGCGCGTGGGAGTCGACCACAGAGTCGAGAAGATGTGTCTGGCTTTCAACGCTCTCTCCGACCGCGTGGCGGAAGTGGAGCAAGGTGGAGCGGCCGACCGTTTCAAGGGATTGCTTTCCTTCGCGATCGATGATGCCGTCGCGGCCTCGGAGGAGCGGATGAAGCGCGTGTTCCTCTTCCTGCGAGAGGAGGAGAGGGAAAGGTGGCAGAGATACCGAGAAGTTGGTAAGGAGAGTTGTTGCGGAAGCCCTGAAGGAGGACCGCGAGCCGAAGTGGAAGTAGAAGCTCAACCTCATCGGGGGCAGGGTTCTCTGATCCGTGAACGACAGGCTTCGTGCGGTGCTTTCCAGCGACGACGAGGAGCATGCCATGGCCGTTCAAAAGGCGCGGCTCGCAGCAGCAACCGCCGACCCTGACGACGAGGACGAGAGTGAGGAGCTCCTGAAGCTGAACTGGAGGAACAAGCTGGCGACAATGCCGCCGTTTGCCGTTGTGGCGAAGGCGACGGACGACGATGCCATGGGGGATGTGGCGATGGCGATGGCCGCTCACTGCGAGGTCCTGAAAAGGAGGAGGAGGAGGAGGAGGAGGAGACCGACAATGGCTCAGGGTTGCGCCAGACGACCAGGAGGGTTTGACGCGGGGGAAACGAGCGGATGCCGGTGGGAGAGGGAGAGGGAGATGACAGCAGCACCGCCAACGGATCGAACGACATGTCCGGCGGAGGGGNCACCAGGTCGACCCCGGGCGCGTGGGAGTCGACCACAGAGTCGAGAAGATGTGTCTGGCTTTCAACGCTCTCTCCGACCGCGTGGCGGAAGTGGAGCAAGGTGGAGCGGCCGACCGTTTCAAGGGATTGCTTTCCTTCGCGATCGATGATGCCGTCGCGGCCTCGGAGGAGCGGATGAAGCGCGTGTTCCTCTTCCTGCGAGAGGAGGAGAGGGAAAGGTGGCAGAGATACCGAGAAGTTGGTAAGGAGAGTTGTTGCGGAAGCCCTGAAGGAGGACCGCGAGCCGAAGTGGAAGTAGAAGCTCAACCTCATCGGGGGCAGGGTTCTCTGATCCGTGAACGACAGGCTTCGTGCGGTGCTTTCCAGCGACGACGAGGAGCATGCCATGGCCGTTCAAAAGGCGCGGCTCGCAGCAGCAACCGCCGACCCTGACGACGAGGACGAGAGTGAGGAGCTCCTGAAGCTGAACTGGAGGAACAAGCTGGCGACAATGCCGCCGTTTGCCGTTGTGGCGAAGGCGACGGACGACGATGCCATGGGGGATGTGGCGATGGCGATGGCCGCTCACTGCGAGGTCCTGAAAAGGAGGAGGAGGAGGAGGAGGAGGAGACCGACAATGGCTCAGGGTTGCGCCAGACGACCAGGAGGGTTTGACGCGGGGGAAACGAGCGGATGCCGGTGGGAGAGGGAGAGGGAGATGACAGCAGCACCGCCAACGGATCGAACGACATGTCCGGCGGAGGGGTGGGGGGACAGGCCTTCTCCGCCGGCACCTAGAACGGCGTAGGTTGTTGTTTTGTTTTTGGTCTTGGCGGTAAACTTGCTCTCGAAGGTGTTGAGCGAGGTGTCGGTTCACCCGACCGTTTGCCCCGCCTAAGATGATGCAGTATACTGTCAAGCCGTGGAAACAGACGTTGCACAGCTATGGCTTTGGTCCAACAGTGGGTTTGCTTTCGACGGATGTGGCACGGACTACTATGAACTTCGTACTTGAGAGGTCCTTGTTGCCTTTTCCCGATGGTGCATTCCCATGGACGGCAAAAACCCGAGCCCATGTACAACTAGGTTGTTTCCGCGATCAACGACTTTTCCTGTCAGCCCGGTTTGCGTCTTTTTTATTTCGAGCTAATCGGGCACATGTGTTTTTTTTGGCATCCCTCGCTTCTCGCTGAAGGGGGTTGCGGCCAGAGGAGCATTATGGTTCCAGCTTGCGTCTGTTCTTGATGAGATCTCAAGGATTGTGGGAGGGCGCGTCTGCGGACTCCTTCTGCCTGCCGGTCGATGCTGCATTCCGTACCAAACCGCAGGGGTCACGTGATGTTGGCTTGATTTTTGCTTGCGCGCATGGATTGTAGCAGAGGTACCCGATTGTTGTGCTGCCAGAACGTTATGGTGATTTTCTTTTGCTCCGGCCCTTGGTCGGCAGTGTGACAAGGGAATGCAATCTTAGTTCGTGGCGTGAAACATTCAAGGAAATGAGAATGATGACCAAAGTCATCATCCAGGCCAAATCAATGCATGCACATATTTCAAGCGAGCGGCTCGAAGATTGAGTGGACAGTACTCATTGACGTAGCTTTCGATGGAACTGGCGTGCAGTGTCCGTGCTGCCTCTGCAGGGCGTGCGTGCTGTCGCCACACTAGACCTGGGTTACACCGTCATGACGCCGGTGATTCATGATCGTCGTGTGCCAAGAATGGTGGTTGTCGTGTGATCCCATGATTATCCTTGACCTACCTAATGACGTTACGATGTGGTGACCCCGAGGAAAACATAAGTGCTGATGCGATTTTGTCTCCCTCCCAGCCTCTTGGCTAATCGCGACAGGCTGGTTAGCCTCATGACACATTTGGAACAGTTTTAGCTGGCTCTTTCCAATACATTTCCAAGAAGGGCACCACAGGCAGGCACAGCACGCGCAAGATGACACCGACAGAATGAAAAAAAAAAAAAACAGGGCGGCCCTGAAGCCTTCGGCAAACATATCCCTGCAACGGTAGACTACAACAAATCATAAGTGGTAACCCTTCAAAGATCGTGGTCGATCGCCTACTTGGATTACTGCCGAAATGCCTCTCTCAAATCGCCCGCCTCCTCCGGGCATATCTATGCCCCGTAGGCGACCACATGAACATGTAAGCCAAAACAAACACCGCGCCACCTGCATACAAACATCAAAACCACAAGAAACAAGCACGTTCCTAGCAGCGGAATACTCCAGACCTAAATTGAGCACGGCGAACAGCAAGCAGTCTCTGCCTTCCTACTTCTCCGTCCGCAAGTTGGGGGATGCCTGGGCCGTGGCAGCTGAACTTGCAATGCCAAACGTACACGTCGGGATCCCGACCGAAGTACCCCTTCAGCGAGTCGAACTCCCGCGCCAAGAGCACCGACACCCTCCCAAGCAGGAACGCGTCGGATGCCTCCACCTTCTGCCACTCCTGCCCGCCGAGGCTGCGCGTTCCAGCGGCGGCGCCTCCCCTCTCCTCCGCGAGCACGACCTTCTTGAGCTCTCTCGCGCGCCTCGCCCTG